TCACTTGTCAGCTACAAAGGGATCGGTACCCCCGAGAAGCGTACTCATACTAAGCCTCTGAAGCTACTCCCCCATCCTCAGGTGGTATGACTGATCAACCATCGCACCTACACCATGCTGCAAACCCAATCCAACTGGTTGCACTCCCACAAACACTAGATGCACAACCACATTCCCTGGTAACACATCCACAACCCTTGGTGGTCCCACTAGAGCCAGCACTGGCACTGCACCCGGTAACCGCTCCAGCTACCGTGTCAACGAATCCGCCTGATGATTATCTTGACCTTGGCTCCACCTGCTAGATCACCCTCAACTAGGTTCCCAGCCAAACCTGTTTGAACCCTTGCAACTAGACAAACCAGTACCGCCTCCGGTCAAACCTGGCTCCATGACACTCACACTACCCTCACCTAACGGCCCCTCTTGATGCACATGCGATCCGCCAATAAAATTTGTCGTGATAGTCTGGCAAACGCTCTTGTCGCTCCTCGAGGCTCTACCCCGCTACCTACCGCGACCACGCAAACGACCACGACCATTACCTCGACTACCATCAACTCTAGCCATCTATTATAACACAATAAAGGCTAATAACACAAGGCAAAATCAATTTTACCAAAAAAACTTATCGTGGGATATCTTTGAAGGCTTAAAGAGGATGATACTAGTTCTACATGCTCAATCAACTGACTAACTAATCATAATCAAATCTAGCATGCATCCACCAAGTATCGCACAACGGTTGACAACATACATCAATAATTGCTCGGGTATTACCCTCGATATACTAAACCGAAAGGTAGGATACGCGAGATTGATCACAGAGTAAAGATACTGTAAAGACTTAAGAGACTCGTTCTTAGCTAAAGCGGACAAGATTTGTTTGTTTAGTTTTCAGACTTGTAAATAAAAATGCAAATAAATAGAGGTTTAAACTTATGAATGAAAGACATTGAGGAGCAGGGTATTTCACAGAACAATGAATAGTAAATGAAAGCAACAAGGATTCCACATAAAGAATCGTTCTTAAACATGAACACAAATTTATATTACTCCTCTCTCAAACAATTAATCACTAAATTCAACTACTCAATTACTAGACTCTAATTTGTAATTTCCTAATCAAATTCGTATTATCGAATAGGTTCATTTAGTTCACAAAGCATAGTAACATCAAATCTCACATGCTAGAAATACAATGCTCAATTTACAGTCATTTAGGCATTTTATTAATCATCTCTGAATCATTTGAAAGCCTAAGTACTAAAATGGGGTGATCAATCATATTCTAGCATTGAGAACAAGTAAATTGAAGTACCATATAATAAGAATCCATTAAAGCAATCAGTCCACTAATTCATTGAATCTTCTACTTAGAACCCTAAAACCCAATTGAGAAACTACTCACACATAAACTGAAGCAAAACAAATAGACATAGAATGAAACATGATCCAATAGATTAAAATAGATCCAACTTTCTAGCACCTGCTCATGACTCAAAACACGACTCAAAAGACACACAAAAAAAAAAATTACGCGACAAACGACTGAAAATGGACATTAAAGAAAAGATAAAAGACTCCAAAAGCACCATATATCCACCAGCCAATAGGAAAAGAAATCACCAATTCAATTCTTAAAGCATTCTAAACATCAGTCTTCAAACCATGAGATTCACAGACCCTCCATAACAACCCATTTAACTAAGCCCTAGAACCGTAAGGGTTCTGATACCCCATCAAAAAGACTCGACTTTTTTTAATTTATTAATTAATAGTCCAATATCTACTAATTAACCTAACCGAGTTAAACCAACAATATCATCATTGTCATACAATAAACCATCATGGACAACAAGAACAAACCAAACCAATTCTAATTAATCATAATATTAACTAACCAATCATAAAATCACCACAATTTACACCATCAACCTAGCATGCTTCTAATTCATGTTCTAACAACATAAAATAAACATTAACCAACAACCGAGACCCTAGATCATCCTCCTTCTCATTGCCATGATTCCACGTCACACTTTATCTACACCACAAACACAATGAGATGCATGAGTATTATCACAAACACTTAGTGAAGCGATCCTCCCATCTACTAGGCTATACACAAGCAATTAAGATCATGATCACACATCAATAATACCAAAGACAGCCAAACCAGTCAATCAAAAACACAAACTGCGCTCACAGAAAGCTGATGTCAGTCGATAACAACAACTGGCATCGATCCACACCACCACCAAATAGGACCACAAACTGCACTGCGAACAACCGACATGTGTCGTTCGATACCTAGGAACTCATCCAGTGTCGATCTCATCCACGAAAGAACCCTAAAATAACCACCACATCATCTCCCATGCCGACACAACCAAAGTACATCCACACAATGCCATACAAACACCTGAAACATATATACAATAAGGAAAATCAATCCACACATCACGTAAACAAAAATTACACAACCTTAATACTTAGATAAGCCATGGTCACGCACTCACCTTTGGTTTGGATTGAAAGGAAGACAGAAACAGAGAAAAAGAGCACCACATTAACCTATTTTCACACCCACAACCACAAAAATTCCCTTCTCCTTGCTAGAACCCTCAAGGGAAACCCACATAAACCTCTAAATCTCTCACAGGCCACACCTTAGCACTAGGATCCTCACACAAGCTTTTCTATCTTTCTCAAACCTGTAGGAAGCGACCTAAAGCAGAGAAAACCTCCATGGAGAGTGGCTACTTGAGTTTTAAAACAATTTAAGGGTTTCTTCCAATTGAAATCGAGCTAAACCGATAATTAAAAACTAAACCGCCAAACCCAAAATCACTGGTTTCGATTGACACACTACAACAAAATATTAATATTGTTAGCATCTGATTACTGCTACTAAAAGTCATTGATAGAGAATTTTCAAAAGCTATGTATGCGCCAACTATAATAGGTCGCACACATATCATAACGTTTTTCTAATCTTATGAATTTTTTTATCTATAATAGCGTTGTTTTTTACTTGCTATAATATTTTACTACTTAAAATAGTTTTTCTTTACGCTATTAAAGTTTTATGATAGCGTTGCTGTAACGAGCTATTGTTTTATCAGTTTTACAATAGCTTTAAATATTAATGTTATATATTTCTTTAAAATTAAAGCAATGGTTAAGTGTTGCACATGTTTTCGTTGTAGCATTTTTCTATGCTATGGTAATTTATAAGTAATGCTATGCAATATGAAATTTTCACAGTTTTCATACAACCAAAAATACCTGATACACATGATTATCAAACAAGTCTCAAACCAACATTACATTACCAATCCAACAAGTCATTACCGAATTCAAATTCATCATTCAAGTCACAATACAAATCGAAACAGCAGAGTAAACCTAAGTCTTTTAATATAATATCACTTTCTCCTTTGGCCACCTTTGGCCATGCAATGGCAGTTCCAATTGCATCTCCAAGACACTCTGTTTCAGACAACGGCCTCCAAACAAGTGCAGTATTCACATTCACTATATCAACCCAAACCTTAACTGCGTTATCACCCAAGGGAAAAAAACGAACAGTCTACTCTGGGTTGTCTGACGCCCAACGTCCTTCAGCAACCGCCTTTTTCTTCCGCTAATATGCATTAGCTTACACTTCTTATTTTCTTTGGGAGCATCACTTGGACCGTGACGCTACAATGGTTGCAATATAACATATTTATTAAAGTTAAAAGAAAAACATCTTAATTTGTAGTGGAGACTTAGAAGTGTAGAAATTGAGCTAATTACCTAAGATCTTTGAAGTGGAGACAGAGTCAGTTGTGGTGGAATTTTCTTTACAGGCGCTGGTGGACATGAATCTTTTCCTTTCTGCTTATGAGAGTTAGAAACTGGAGATGCAGAAGTTATACCTTTTGATGAAGTTTTTGGACTTGGTTCTTTTGTAGAGGAGGTATGTGGCTAAAGAGCGGACTTTTAACATCGTGTCTATGTGGTATCTTCAAAACTACACTTATTAGCAGGCCATGCTATAAATGACTTCACAAAGTCCCCAATGTATCTTGTTTCTATTGTTGGCCTCCATAAGAAATTATTTTTAACATGTACCACATCGAGATATACTTTAACTGCATTTGGTCATAGAGGAATATTATTAACCAACGCTTTTGGTTCCTTACAATGCCAACGTCCTTCACCAAGCACTTCATCAGTATTACTAGACCAATCTAGTAGTTTGCATTTGTTCAAATAATCTGTTTTTTGGCTCTGTCAAATGCATAAAACAATAATCTCAGAAAATATCAACACATTGAACTAATATGTATAGTTGAGTGTAAGAAAATGTTACCCTTACATGAATGTCTTCAGAATAAAGCCACTGGTCTGATTCAACACATTTATTGAGAGGCCGTGCAATGATTTTACCAAAAGCTAGACCAACATTATAAATCTCAACTGTAGGTCTCCAAAGAAAGGCTTCTCAGATAATCGATGTATCAACCAAAACTTTAAAAGCAAGAGGGCCCAAGGGGATGTTATTCAGAAAGTCATCCGGATCAGTGCAAAGAATAAGTACTTCAGCCACTTTTTCAGCAGTACCATCCCAATCAACCAACACACAACGTCAATATGCTTATTTGTTAACACTCTACAGTAAAATATATATCAAGATTGTGAGTATTTACTATAAGCATATCAACTAAACAAGCTCATATAAATTAATTACTTTTCCTATAACAGAAGCTGAGTTCTCACCAACTTCAGTATCTTGCTTGTGTCAAATTTAAAACCAAGTTAAACAAACATATGGAGGAGTAATGTTTCAATGTAAACCTATTTCTGTTTAACAAACTTGTTGTTTAATTCTCTTAATCTCATCTTCCAATTTATGTACTTTGTGAACCAACTGATATTGTTTCTCTTCCATGTCAACAATAAACTTTTGGTCAATTGAAAACAAGCTAACTTGGTCTTACTCATGCTTCTTCCCATTGCCCTTAGACGACCTAGATTATCAGGTCCTTATAGCTGTGAAAAGGGGTCATCTCGTGGGTTTGTTGAAGTTGATGAACCAGCATTATCAACCAACTCAGCTGCTTTCTTCTTCATACATTACAAACATGCATATGGTAAATGAGAATATAGACCAGAAAATGAAGAACAACATTAAATACTTAACATATTTTTCAGCTGCTTTTGTGTTGACTGGAGTACCATCCTTTTTACTATGTGACTGGACCCAGACCTTTAGCCTACTCACTTGAGATGGTTCGGAACTTTGTTGTGTCTGTTACAAAAAGAACACATTGTTCAGAAAAGACCAAACAAGATGGTTTAGAAGAGTAATATTATCAAAGTTAAGGTAGTAGATTTTACCAACTCTTATGCCAGCCTGGCCATTCCTTTGCGGCTACAAGTGTGTGGTATTTGTCTTCGCCGTCTCTCTTTGTAAGATTCACTTATACCTGCAAATTCTAATCTAGTCTTGAGCTTCACAAACTTACGCCATTCTCGTGGTGAAACATTCTTAGGTCTCAGATTCATTCGGTCTTGGTTAGTAGATTTGGATCTTATCTAGGAGACTAGTCTTGATTTGGAGGAATTCCAGAGGCATCCCATTTGCCCCATCACAGGATTCTTCTGGAACTCTTCATCGAGGTCAAATCTAGCCTGTATAATTGACTGATTTAACATTAACACAGAAGCATAAACAATGAACAATGACACACATGAGTCATGTAAAGAAGTATGACCTATACAGATTTCCACAAAACTGCTCTCAGTTCGTCAGTGATTTTCTTTCAGTCATCAATGGTGACAGGAACATGTTCCCGCACTAATTGACCTAGATAAGAGGACAGCTTTACTGAGCCAGGACCTATAGCCTCTCCCATGCCATTGAATTCAAATATTTCACAGACATTTGGATATTTAGTTACATTATTCATCTTTGTTGATCTTGTTTCTCTTCTGACATTTCAACATAACCAAGAGGCTCATCATCTTGAACACCTTCTTCATTTTGCCTTCCTTCCTCAGTCTCTCTTTGTTCAGCCACTCTTTCTTCCTCATTCTCCTTTTATGCATTCACTTCATCACTCTCTCTTGCATCAGCCGCTATTTCTTCCTCATTCTCTCCTGTTTCATTCACTCTTTCTACATCATCGGCTGCAGTTTGATCAGGGTACACAGTACACATAAATTCCGGCTCATCTTCATCAACAAGTTTCTTCTTTGATTTCTTGGACTTCTTAGTCGTCTTTGTTGTCTTTTTATTCCCTATTGTGATTCACCTGAAACAATTAATAAGAAAAACTAGTTACAGTAAACAAAGATGACACAGAAAGATCTCTATATGAGTAAAGTAATTAAACAAACAGACAATCATATACCTAACATAAGCATATCAACACACAAACGCACATAAAACATAACACACATATATGCCTTCACAATTAGTTCGCGCATTTTGAGCATTTTCTTCTTCCTCTAACTCAATATCCATTGGAATTATTGATGGCATTGGTCCTATATATGTGTTTCCATCTTTTTCAACTTCCTCGCTATATCTTCTGGAAGGACCTTTTAGTAAAACACACCAACCAGTTTGATCATTCTCCTTCGAGTAAAAGACTTGCTTAGCCAGAGATGCCAATATGAACGGATCTCTCATGAAAGAACTTGACTTTGATTCAAGTTAACTAACGTGAACCCACCTTCTACTTTAACCCCGTTACCTCTAACTGCCCATTGATACGGGAATATAGGAATGTAGAATACATTATAATCCAACAGTATAATTTCTAGTATTCTCCCATAGTAAGTAATTAAAGCAGCCACTTGTGAAATATCCTTTGCACTCGCTCTAAACATTGCAGTAGCCTCAAATCACAGAGTCTACAGGGTGTCTGAATTTCCCATCTTTGCTCTTGTTAGTAGCATGCCACCTTAATTTTCTGGCCATGTCATCACACCTAAACAACCGCTTTAGCCTAGGAATTATTGGAAAGTACCGTAAAACTTTATGTGGTACACCTTTCTTTACCTCACCGGTTTCTAAGTTAACCTTCCACCTTGAAGCCTTGCAGTTTGGAAAATAGTCAATCTTCTTCAACTCCTTTCTAAATAGGCAGCAATCATTCATACACGCATGAATCTTCTCATAACCCACATCAAAATATTTAAAAAAATTCTTTACATCATACAATGATGTATGCAGCACGTTTTCAGCTGGTAACATCTCTGACAGTGTATCAAACAGATCGTTGAAATTCTTGTCAGACCAGCCATTCTATGTCTTGAGTCAAAAAAATGAGACAATAGTTGATAGCTTGCTCTGACTTGTGCAGTTTGGATATAATGGGGTTTCTGCATCTGCTAACTTTTTCTGGAATTCATCTTCTCTACTGTCCTCTACCTTCTCAATCACATAAAAGTCATCTGCATCATCAAACCGATGATCTTCATAATCAGCAGCTCTGTATAACCCAGCAATCTCTTCATTAAAATGATTTACTTTCTCTTCAGCTTCAAAAACTGAGTTATATTCTCCATGATGGTACCAGTCCTTACGCAGCTTGTAAACGTCATCCATACCTCTTGTTACAAGATGGTCAACAACATAACTACATGAATGACGATCTACAATGCGACAGTCTCTACAAAGAAAAATTATGAACTGACTGTCTCCGTTATCTACTGAGATAGTCTTGACAAAATTCCATGCACCTATCTCATAAGCATGATCAATTCTACAAAGATGCACTCATGCTTAGTCTAACATTATATGATCTTACCTTCATTAAAACCGTTTGAGCAACAATGCATATTAACTAGTCATCAAATCAATATTTGTATAACCGATTACAATTTAACTACTACATATAAGCAAAGACATTGAATTTTAAAAACACATCAAACAGACACAACAACCAAGATATAAGTAAAGCCACTTCAATGTAATAAATCAACCTAAATATACTACGAGAAAAAGAACAGTTGCGCAGTCACTCTAATCTCATAGCAAACCCATCACATAAACAATGAACAATGCTCTTTATCAAACAAAAATAACAATACAGTCTCTGTAGTATCTATTAGTGAAAATATTGAGAGCAAACCTTACACCAAATTAAGAGCAAAATCCAATGATTGGGTGATAATGTATAGCTTCGTAAATGTGTTTAACATGTCACCAAAACTTGGAAACATTACAAAATCAGTATACTCATTCGTGAATCTACTTAAACTTGAAAGAATCAGTAATGTAAATACCTTAATCCAATCCAAATCAAACCCAACTTTGCTTAGATATGGTTGCACAAACAAGACATTTCTTTTAAATGTTTAAATCTCATAAAGTAAACCTTGAGAGAACCTAAATCTCATAAATAAAACTTAAATCTCATACAAAAAATTGGGAGAACAAGACTAAGAAGATATAAAGCTATGAAATAGCTTGCCTAGATATGCAATCAAAACCAGATGTGCAATAGAGAGAATGATATCGAGCTGAGCACTGATGGAGGATGAAATCGACCTGAGATGTGCGACAGAGAAGATGAAATCCACCTGAGATGTGCGAAAGAAGGGATGAAATCGAACTGAGACAAGAGGATGAAATGGAGCTTAGATTAGCGACAGAGGCGATGAAATCGAGCTCTTACCTGACAGAGGCGATGAAATTGAGTTTGAAATAAAGACTGAGAGGATGAAATCGAGCTTCTAATTGCAATAGAGAGGATGAAAACGAGTTCCTCTTTTTGGGGAAGAAAACATAATTTGTCGAAGAGGGATAAAACGTAAGTGTTGGGCGCTTAGAACTGAAAATTTTAGTAAAAATTACTAAGTATTGGGCGCTTAAAGATATTTTATTATCCCGCTTATCGTTTTGATATATTAGCGTTTTTCTATTGCTGTTAATAGAACCTAAAATCTCAGCATATCACTTAGCGAAATCGTGCTATCTTAATGTGCTATCAAAGGCAATTTTTGTAGTGAGTACACCCATAGTTGGTGTCGATCGATAGTGTCCTAAAAACTGGACACGAGCTTTACAATTTCAACCTTGTTAGCTTGTTATATTCATTAGATTATGATCATGGCCCTTGTTATTAACTCTTTAACTAGGATAGGATCCGCGCTATAGCGCAAGAGAATATTTACATATACATATGATTTATAACGTATTAGAATATGCTATATTTTTATTTTATTGCGGTGTGGTCAATTAAGGTGTAAAATATATTTATGTAAAGAGTTTGGATAAAATAATAGAAATATAACAAACTTTAGGTTCTCTCACGTTCCATTGTAGAATTAATAATCTAGACCTTGATTCTTGCTATTCTATTAAGCAATGTTTAGGTTTCAAGGCCCCACATTTAAACCTGTCTCACAGCTTAGGATTTGTTTGATTACTTGAGACCAAGCAAAGAATAAGTTTGAGAAAGTTGATATTTCTGCATTTTACTTGATTTTGCATTGCATTTATCCTTCATTTTCTTGTTTTAAGTCTTGTTCCTTAGTCATTAGGAATTTTAAACTCTGTTTTGCATCTTTAGAATAGTCTTACATTAGCATTGCATGCATGGTTGCATTTGAGCTTAAAAACATATGTTTTGGAATCTAATTGAGCTAAGGAATGAATTTAAATGGAGTTATGTACTAAGACAAGTGGAGAAGTAAGAAGGAGACTTGGAGCACACAACCACATCACACAATGAATCAAACGATTGAGTATGTAATCGCGTGATTGGAGTGAAGACTGATGCTCGACCGAAGCACACGATGAACTAGACTACCTATTAGTGACTTAAGGTTTTCCTTCTTTCATATAGATAGCACATTTGTCAATTAGAAGGATCTCGCTTTTAATTAACGTATAAGGCTTTTAGCCACCAAACTTCAAGAAACTTGTAATCCAAATATGTTTTAAGTTGTTAAGAACTTGCACTTGCTTCTTTGTACAATATTGATCCTTAGATCTTGATCTATATAAATATGTCTATTTTAATATTTTTCTAGGTTTGTGTTCTTCATCATATTTTATGGGTTTTAAGTAGTGATTAGGGTTGTTAAGGATGTATAGATTATATGGAGAATCTTAGTCTATTAGGATGCCTAAACTTAGCATTGATTGGTTTCTGTTGTGGAAAAATGTCTTATTAGCTAGTTTCATTATGATCATTTGGAATTAGGTCTTAGACATTTCAGCACCAAAAGTGTGTTTGATGAAATGTCTGAAACAACTAGTACCAAACATTTACATTTTTAGCCTAAGCGATTAGATGTCTAAGATTATTATTGACATTAATGATTTAGAATTTAATGCTTGCTTGATCATAATTCATCAAAGCAGGGGCGGACCCAGAAAAAAAATTAAATGGGTGCAAAATGTAGCACATGAGGCTTGAACCCATGACCTCAAACATAACATGGGGGCAGTTTAACCATTTTGACACTTATAACTTAATAGGTTTGTGGGTGCAACTGCCCCCACTTTCTTCTATGTGGGTCCGCCCCTGCATCAAAGGGATTTGACTTTAGATGTGATTAGGTTAATTTGATAGTTTATGCCAAGTAACTAGATTGGATAGTTTATGAAGTTCATTGTCTAGGGATAGCTTGATCGAGTTTTTTGGCATCTACTTAGATTAAAAGACTCCACTGAATCGATAACTGGTTATCCTTGAGAGCTTAACTCTTTTCATTTTTTAACTAGTTTAAACTACGTTTCATTTACATTTTATGTTAGGTTTTGGGTGCTTAGCTTATATTCTATAGTTTCACTTTGTTTAAATTCAGTTGCACTTAGGATTATTAAAAACTACACAAAATTGGCTTGGCTTTTTAGTTCATGTTACAATTCTAACTGTTTACCTTCGCACTTATTTGGATCGATGAACCCTTTATGAAATTCACTCTCCGGTAATCGTTTAAAAAAACTCCGGTATTGTTCTCACCAAAACCTGCAAAAGCGATGAGATGAAAACTTCCGGCAAAAACTGCAGAGACACAGACAGTCTGGGCAATGTGGCTTACCATTTTCTGTTACATACAATGGAATGTCTTTGTATCGCTTTGCTGCATACATCAACATCTCCTCCATCCCTTGAGGATAAGTAGAAAACCAATTTACTCCAGTCTGCATCATTATTAAAAATAATTACTCATAAAGGTTTCTGAAAAGATTTCCACTTTGAGTTGGCCTGTCTGCATACCGGTTCGCCTAAATGTGAACCGTCTTTAAGGGCGTTTGCATAAACGAAACCTTCAGCCCTCGAACCTCCTTTGCCTGGTTCACATGCTGAATGAAGACAATCTTTCGCGTATCTGCTTGTGTACTGATTAATCCCAATGAAGTCTAATCCTTACACTGAGGAGATTGAACATAAAGGATTAAAAATCCTTGTATCAACAAGCTCTATAACATATGAATTATAAATCGAAGAAGTCAAAGCCATCGAAATCGACGACAACAAAGAACTTTCTTACTTTTTACCAACTGGTTTGTTCCCAATAATATTATATCAAATTCTTTGTATGCAACATATTTGATGTTAACATTATGCAACATATTTGATGTTGACATTATGCAACATATTTTATGTTGACATCTGCTAAGTCCGCACAACACGCATGCACGAGTTGGACACTGAAATTCCTCAAAGGAAAAACATTGCTATAAATTTACATCTACCAATTCTTATTGTGAGCACATATAGAGATACAAAACCCTCAGACATAAAAATTTGATATATTTCTTACCACACTATCATGCACACTAGTTCCGTACTGCTCTACGTTTAGATTCCGAGTTATAAAATGGTACATGAGAGTGTTGATCTTGATAAATGGATGAAATATGATGAATGGACCTCCCATTTCTCTCAATTTCATTAGAGGTTGAAGCAAACTAAGAAACGGATCTAATTTTCATCCATGGCATGGATGCTTCGAGATCATTCAGATCTGATGGTGAACTGGTGAGCTAAGAGACCGTTGACGCCATTGTCGATGAAAGCAAAGAGGTTTCAAACTATTTAACGACGTCGGAGAGCAAAGATATCAAAGAAAGTCGGAGTCGTCTGAACTCGTCCAAGATTTGTGCTTGTGAGCGATGACAGACAGAATTGTCTGAACTCGTTTTAGATTCCGGGTTGCGAGCGACGAAGAAGTTAAACAGATGATGAGCATGTAACAAATTAAGTGTTTATAACACAGATATATAATAGGTTTTTTGTTGAATTAATGACAGTATTAATGGAAAAATAAGTAATAAATGGTAAGTTAGAAACTAAAACTATGTTTAACGGTATTTAAAAGAATTTCTCTTAAGAATATTCTTTCGAATTGGCTTTGAGTTGATCTTAAAAAGCTGTTGACAAATTATTTAAACACATACAATGCTTGTTCCGTTCATTATTTTCTGTAGTAGTTAATTTTTACAAGCTTTTCTTGGGCTTTATTTCTAGCTAGACTCATCTATTTCACGGATCGAGATTGAGTCATCATAATTAGCATCAGACATACATTAATATAAGAAAACACTTATGCTACATGCAAACATTCCAGACGAGCATGTGCAGGCTATGTCACTTAACCTTGTTTATTGCCTTCCAGTTAGGACCGATCATATCAAATTCTCGGGAGATCCTCAAGCCACCAAAAAAATGAGAAAATTGTCTAGATTGACATGAACAGTGACAAAAGTTGTATGGACTGCCACTTTCTTAATTGGCTTTTCTCGCCTGCCACACTCAACAACAAGTGGACAACTGGGGTGTGTAGAACCAGATAAGAGGATGGTGGACAACTGGGAGTGTAGAAAAAAACCTTCTTTTTCGTTTTTGATTTGCTATCTAAATACAAACAAAATCAATAGTCCTATGGGTAATAGCTTACCTTGTCACCAATTAATGCCCCCTGTAGCTGTCGAAAATAATGTATCATCCCATAAAGTTTTTGAAAACTATGCAAAATGCTCTCCCTTTGGTAAAGGGTATTTTTGTCTATTTGCCCACAACATTTTTACTGTGTATGGCACTCCATAGAAGACCAAAAGAAAAATGGTAGTTCCAATTTTTTAGGGTGTAAAACTGGCATTTTAGATAATATTCCCCCAAAAAAATCTCAACTACTCTTTTTCTAAAAACTAATTTAGGTTTTATTTATTTTAAATCAGAAAATAGAAAAAAGACATCATAACCCTTAAAAGTATATAGTATGTACGACCCAACCAATCTAATTGGTTCTTTAATTACCCGAACCCATTGTTTCTGGGGAAAAAAGCTTAAAAATACCTAATCTATTTTTTATTTGGACGTTTAATACCTAAATTTTTTAGGTTAGAAGAATAATACTCAAAATAATAAAAACGTACAATTTAATACTTAAAATATTAAATATTGTCATTTCTCTATTTACGATTTCTCAACAAAATATATATTCCAATTTTAACCCTATTCACTTCTATTTATTATTAATGCATAAAAGACTATATTTTACTTTACTATTTCATTGTAATATTTCTTTATATCTTTTATTAAAAATATATATTTCATACTTCAATATTCATTTTTAGATATGAAATATATAATTCAATATATATTTCGTTGGATCTCTTAAAAGTTTTGGATAAAAATATAATACAATTTTTGGATATAAAATATACAATTCAAAATATATCTTTCATTGGATCTCTTAAAACGTTTTAGATAAAAATGAAATATGAAATATACATATCATTTTTGGAAATGAAATGTATAATTCAATATATATATATATCTTTCATTAGATTTCTTAATAAAATATATTTGGATAAAAATGAAATATATATTTTGGATATGAAACATATAACTTAAAATAAACCTTTCATTGAATCACTTAATATTGTTTGGATAAAAATGAAAAATGAAATATATATTTTGAATTAAATCTATAAATTAATGATACAATGAAATATTACTAGCAAATATTTGTTTTTTAATAAAATTGTAATTAATTTTATGTCATTTATGCATTAATAATAAATGTAAATTAAGAAGGGTAAAATTGGAATATTTTTTTTGTTGACAGATCGTAGGTAGGAAAATGTCAATATTTAATAGTTTGGGTATTAAATTGCACGTTTTTATTATTTTGGGTATTATTTTTCTAACCTAAAAAGATCAGGTATTAAACGTCCAAATAAAAAATAAATGAGGTATTTTAAAGCTTTTTCCCCATTCTTTCTGGGTTGAATTTATCTTAAGCAATTAACATTTTTTTTTTTTTGAATTTTCTAGATTTCGAATCTTCTTCTCTTTCGCACAATATAGAAACCCAACTGTGTCTTTTCCTCATATATGGATAAAGTTATAAACAACTCCAAATTTGTATAACTTCATATCGATTTCTTCTGTTCGATTTAAGTTTAAGAAATTTTGTTCTCAAAACCGTGCACAACTAAGTACAACTTGGTTCAATTATTCCCGTTTTAAAAAAAAAATACCCAAACCAAAAGATACAACTTGGTAATACTTGGGTACACCTAAATGTAGATTGTAAGATTTTGATGAGGAAATTGATTGGTTTATAGGTTTTTACAAATAACCCGAGTGAACTTGGAGACCACAATCCTTCAGATGCAATATAAGTTTTCGATGAAGAAGAACAGTAGTTACCAATTCCAGTTGATTATGAAGAAACAAAGCCGTCTAATGGGGATTCAACAATAAATCTCTTAACCGTATATAACTATGTATAACTTGGTATAACTATGTTGATTTGTAACTTAAAAGTTTTTAAAACTAAAAAATACAACTTCGTAAAACTTGGTACAACTTAATATGGATTGTATGATCGTATATAGATATTTTCAGTGATTCCTTCGTCACACCTACACCTCTTTAGAATTGGTGTTGGTGGACTCGATGTAGCATCTTGTTTGGACATGATTTCTTCTAAAACCCTTGAAGTTCCCTTGCGGGAGAGCTCTATCGCTTATCGTTCTAGCACCCTTACATTGGAAGCAGAAGATATCATGGCGAAGACTACCTCTTTACGGAAGAACACCCTCTTGTTGGCGTGGAAGGAATACATTTTGGTTTTGCACTTGTCGTTGGATTCTCAGCTGTTTACAAAACCTTGGAAGTCACTTGAAGTCACCGTTGAGCCTGGAAGAATTTTGCTTGTTCTCAGCTTTCTACACCTCCGGTTTATCTCTTTGTTTTTTGTGTTAATCTATTGTACTGCCTATGTGTTTGCAGCCTCTTCAGCCTTTAGTGATGTGTACTTTGTAGCAGGTCTTATGCTGTCTTTCTCCTGTAATGGTGGCTAATTATGTTTTTTTTTCATTAATAAAATTGTGGTTTACAGAAAGAAAAAAAAACAATCACAAGATCTGAAATCGGATCTCAAATTATCAAAGCCTAATAACTGGGGAATTTGGGATTAGTTGGATGGGAAAATAAATTTTTTTTTTTTTTTTTTTTTAGACAAAATTTTCAAAAAATGGGGAAAATGTGGGCCACATCGTATAAACTGCACTAAAACACATGGAGTCGCCAAACATGACACGTGGCACCGCAGAAATGAACATAGTTGTTCCTAGTTTCCAAGTTGTACTCTCTTTTATATAGTTGTATTTTTGAGATTTTTAAGTATAATCAGTTATACTTTTATTCAAACAAAACCTTTGTAGTTGGACTGAAGATTTTACTTATTTTTATTACATTCCCCATATCTTTATGCAAAAATATGAATCAAAACCTTATTTTTGTGTGTTTTGCAATGTAAATGAGTTAACAATAAGATAGTCATCTTAAAACTATAAGGTCTTTCTTGTATACAAATGAATTTAATGAACACTATTTTCTTCTTTTTTTCTTTTCTTTTGATGCTATTTTAGAAGATTTGTCACACAAATTTCAATTAATAAAGTCAATATGAAAGATTATTAACATTTTCCAAAAAATCTATTTATAAAGTACCTATGAATTTTTAAGAAATTGGTCGTAGTTGTACCGTTAGTTGTACAACATTTTACAAACTGAATACGAGCAAAGACATACGTAGTTGTACCATTACAAGACCGAGTTTTACCAAGTTATACAAAAACATAAAGTAAATATATATTAATTAAATACACTAATCTTGAAACTTATCTTGGTTCTGAAACTAACTATCCAAGTTTCTCTCAGACTATCTTTAATGCTTTCGGAAGGTTAGTCTCTGTTTTTTCTAAAAAGGATAGAACTTAAACTAAACTAGCACATAGTAAAATACCAGTAGTACCTTAATTGACCCATAATAGATGATTATCAAGTCAATGTCCATTAATTGTCTACACAAGTTTCAAATCTAACTAAAGGAGATTTAAGCTAAAAGTAATAGGAAAAAGAAAAGATATGATTTAAAGATTTAAGTTTGAGTTTTAATGGTGAAAGACTGGGGAGGAAGAAGCGACGATGGAACCGATTTTAAAGTTTTTTTTGTTTGTTTTGACAGCAACAATTTTGGATTTTTTAAATAATTAATTTAATTAAAAATTGGTTTGATGAATCGGTTTGAATCGGTTTGGTAAGGGAAAACTTGGGTATTCATTAAGAGTAGAGGATTATATTAGAAAAAGGAAAAGTGTCTAGAATTAGGAACTCCGGAGAATTCAACAAAACAGAAATAGAGCAACGTTCTTCTCGGCAAGACACAAAATCGTAATTCAATTTCTCAACCTCTGAATCTCAAATCTCCGATTCGAAATCCGGCGAACATGGTGAGAGATATTGAGGCTGAGATTAGAGACGACCAATGATCATGGTAGCGAAGCATTCTTCGTCAAAGTCTCTGACTCTCCCCACGCCACTTACGTTCCGATGAAATCCAACTACGGCAGTTTGTTTACATTCGCGGTGGTCTACACATTGAGAAAGGTTGCCCTGTTCCTGTAATCCGTGGGTTGAAACCAGTCCCCAAGCGGAGGCTCTGCGTTGGAAACCCTTACCCTAGTGATCTTGATTCTAGCGACTTGCTGATTCCTTTCACCGTGGCCTCTGTTTCGCCGACGACGAAAAAGAAGAATCTTGTTGAGATGAGGATGAGTTTGGATTCCACGAGAAGGAGTTGTTGCGGTCAGAGTCCTCCGGTGATTCATCGCCGTGACGCCGCATTGCTTCTTTCTTCATCACGTCTCAAACCCAAATCGGTACAATTTTTTTTATCTTCATCTTAGTCTCTTCTGTAAAGCGAGTTGATTTAGGGTTTTAGTTACTAAGCGCTTTTTGGTTTCTTGAATGTGAGGGTTTCGTCTCATTGCAAACCAATTTGATGTTTTCTCCTGAGTAATTTTAAGCTAGATTCGTTAGGTGCTTTATGATGTGCTTGATTGTTCTACTTAGTTCAATTCTGTGTTATTTTCTACTTAGATGATTGAGTCTTTGCTGTATCTGCTCGTGTATCTGCTCTCTCCATATGCTGACCTTCGTATATGTCATACCTTTGCTACTTAGATTATTGAGTCTTTGCTACTTAGATTATTGAGTCTTTGCTGTATCTGCTCGTGTATCTGCTCTCTCCATATGCTGACCTTCGTATATGTCATACCTTTGCAGGGGTTAGGGCCTTACTCTGCACCTATCAAGAAAGCTGAGAAAGAGATTTAAGGAACTCGCCAAGAAGATCAACGATCTATGTGGTATGTGCACACTCTTTGCTGCTCAAGTGTTGGGCTTACTTTGATTAGCTAATGACTTCTGTTTACGGAATGACTAAAATGTTTATTGGTTGCTTATATGGAAACATGCAGGTACCAAGGAGTCTGATGGTTTAGCTCGTCCCAGTCAATGGGATCTTGTATCTGATAAGCAAATGAAGCAAGAGGAGCAACCTCTGCAGGTAGGCTTTCTTTCCTAGATAGTTGTCTGAAACGTCTTCTTATCTCATGGTGACTATAAGGGGTTAAGGTAAACGTTATTCTCTGTCCAGGTTGCGAGATGCACAAAGATAATAATGCCAAACAACTGGAAGACGCTAATACGTGATCAGT